TTGCATGCGACAAACAATAATCCTAAAATTAACAAAAAAAAAGATTCAATTCAATTTGCATACAAATATTAAGCAAGAATCCTACAACCACCAAAAAGACCCATTTAGTCAAAACTGAGTTACACCAAAATACCTTGAGAAAGGCAGACATACTTTGGAAAGAAAACAGAAGTACATTCATGTTTGGGTAAAAAAAAAAGAAATGTCTATGCATTTAGGAAAGAAAATGTGGAATTACCCCAACACGCAGGAAAAAAAGAGAGGATTCATTCCCTTAACAATCCGAGTATGTGAAAATGTCTATACATTCATTGCACTCAGCGGAATACTAGAGTAAGCAGAAATAAACCTTAAACAATGACATTGTTAAAAGACAATATATCTAAAAAGAAAAACCCTTAACTTTGGACGATGATCAAAAGATCCCCTATAACTTTGAAAATATCAGAAGGTGTCTTCTAACTTTCAGTTTTTGAGGGGTTTTCTGATAAAATCTCAAAGTTAAAAGGTTATTTTCTGATAAAATCATAAAGTTAAAAGAGGGTTTTGTAATAATTCATATATGTAAGAAAAGTTTATTTATTTATATTTGAAAGTTACGCGGAGCTATCAGTTTGTCATAATCGCCCAAAAAAAGCGGCCGAGCCTTTTTACAAATTCAACCAGTACTATGTCCACAAGCAAGAAGTTTACTACGATTGGGCCCAACTCGCGCACACTCGGCCAGGGCCCAAGTATCCGACAGCCCGAGCTCGACGACATCTGCGGTGGGGCCCGCCGAGCAGCAAAAACCTAAGGGGTTGTTTGGTTGTTGTTGGTAAAGTTGTGTATTTATGACACAACTTGAAAAGTTGTTGTCCACCTCATCAATTTTACTTTGTTTTTGATTCCATTGGAATCATAAATTGCTTGTTTGGTTTGTAAATGTAACTTTAATTGTTTGTTTGGAAAGTATAAAAAGTGGTCCCTACTCAAATGATCATATTAGTTAGAATTATTTTTTATTATTTTTTACTGACTTCAATGTTAGCTTTCTCCTAAAATCATGTCTTTTTTTTATAAAATCACTTTACAAGTCACATCAGCATATGAAATCACTTTACACTATTTTCACAATTACAAACAAACAATTGAAAATGATGAAAGATGACATTGGAACCACTTTTTTACCCTTTCTATCATTTTGGTAAAAACATACAACCAAACAGCCCATAAAAAAAGCAGCCCGCGCCATGCTCCACGTGGCGCTATCCGTGCTTGCTGTTCCTACCAAAACAGCGATTTAAGCTTCTCTTAAAGGGCGCCGCGGTCTTATCATCAGCGATATAAATGCTCTCTCTCTCTCGCGAAGGCAACAGGAGTCAAAGAACAGTGAGAGGGATTAAAAATCGAGCGGAGAGAGCTGGTGGCGATCGAAAGCCGACGAGAAGCGAAATTAGGGTTAGGGTTAGGGTTTTGAGGGCAGAGAAAAGAGGCTGCAGGTCGAAAAGAATCCGAAGCCGCTTCCGTCTCCTCAATTTCTTGTAATGGACCGCTTTCCCTCGGTGTATCCTCTCATCGATCGCCGGAAAGGTGATTTTTGTCGCTCTTCAGATCTGGTGATTTTTATGTT